ACATAGACATAGGAAACACCATAGGCTCATATATACAGTATATCAGGAAAAGAAAAATAACTACAACAATCTCCTACTAGACACTTCTGTTATATTATAATTAACAACTATCCCTGGTTAACATAAACCAAGCCTTATATTCTCACGGTCCCCTTTATCCATTCTTAGAAGTATTCAACTTCCCAGACAACAACGGAAACAAGAATGTCCAATAAAAAAAAGCACCTACAAAGGAAAATTGGATACAACATACAAGAGACTCTGGGCATATAAAGAAAATCTCATCTTAAAACACTCAGGAATAGAAGATTATGATATAACCATCAACACTGATGATGATGAAGACAACCTAAACATTTCTGATGACCTTATTCCTAAACACCATTATATTGTTCAATAGGCATCCAAACTCCTCACAATCAGAAACAATCCAGAAGAACTTATCAAATTTCTATTAGACATCAATTAGCAATCCAAGAATGAAGTTAGACAAAAACCCTATCTAGCTATCTTTGTTAAAATAGAGGCTAGGGACAGAAACTTTTTTAACTTCAGTAAAACATTTAAACTTAAAGAGGATCATCAAAAAGAATATGAAAAGCTGGAAGGCAGATTCCAAAAAATTTATTGAACCAAGCACAAAGTTACAAAGTTTAATAGAGAAGTCAGATCTAAGATCAAATTGCTACTAAGCACCAGTTTGTTTATTGCTTATTTAAAATATATTAACATCTTTGATCTCAGCCCCTACTTATTAGCACAAATTATAGAATATAGGTGCAACTATCTCTGCTGATCCAAAGGAGACAGCAAGCTAGATTATTATGAAATTTTTTAAAAAAGCAAAAAAATGTTTCAAGACAATCTCTCCCACACTTCCCACTTTTCCAGACCTAATTTCTTCTCAAATAAAAGCTAAAATTTCTTACAAAATCCCTATCCTTGACAGAAGCACTATAGAAAGTGTGATGGATTCCCTTCATCCCCTTTACAAATTTGCTTTCCTTCCTGACTCATACTTTGTCACACTTTCAGATCTTCTTGATTATCCTCAAGATCTTTTCAAAGAAGTCTTGCATTTTTTTCCAATTAGAAAGAAAAAAGATCATAAAAACTTGAAAAACATGATTAGAGAACTTAAAAACTTCTTTATTGTCTCTTTCAGAATTCTATCAACTTATTTTGATCTCCTACCTCCAAAAATCCCACTCCCTTCATTTCCCGATCAGCTGGATTCAGAGTTTACATATTTATTTTCACTTGATACATCAATAAACAGCATTAGAGATGTTGAGAAAACTCTTAGAGCCAAGTATTATTTTGAACAGCTTTCTGTCAATTTCTTCAAATCCAGAAGACTTCTTCCAACCTTTCCATCAACCATTAATAAATGTCAATCCAAACTAGAAATTCAAATCCCTATCACAAACTTTTATGATACTCAGTTCTTAATCAAAATATTAAGATCTGAGTTCCATTTCACACTTTCACTAGGTTCATTATAGGTATCTTCTGAGATTATCCAACCGAACAAATCAAAGCTTTCAAAAAAAATAAAGGACATCAAACCAGACCTCAATATTAAACAGCTTTCTCACAGTGATACTCAACTTAAAGAAAAAATCAAAACTTTATATGAGTTCTATGAGTTCCAAAGGATTTCAGAAAACTGGTTCACCAATCCATGAGTCTATTTGCCTAAAGATCCATAGGAAATTAATAAAATCCTATCAGACAAAAGCCTTATGACTCTCAAATTTCTTCTAGTTGACAACAATGCCCTTTCAACAGTTATCTATCAACTTCATCAAACATTCCTATTTACCAGACTACTTGATTTTCTTATCATTAAAGAGACACTCCCAGAACTGGAGTTTGATCTTTTTCTCTTCTTGTGTTAAATAATATATATAGCAACCCTAATATGCTTAACACAGTAATTAATTCTAACTTACCAAATACACAACATAATCTACCTATCCATAACATTACAGACACATTCAGCATGAACTCACCACAAAAATCTCCTGAACAATCTATTTCAAATTACACAAGCCAATTCAATAATACAAAAAATCTTATAACACTTACCACTATCAATACTAAAGGCCTCAATGAGCTAACCAAACTCAAAGATTTAATAAACACAACAAACAACAGATCTATTTTAATGTTACTGAAACAAAATTAAAGAAAGATAATTACCATCTAAAGAATATCAATAGAAGGGCAATAATCTATAACAACTCCAATAATACAAAAAATGGTACTATGTTTATTATTAGCAAAGATCTCTCACTATACGTATTCAAAATAGAAGAAGTCTTTGAGTACTGCTCCTTAATTATTCTAAAATTCAAAAGCAATGTTAACATATTACTAACAGTAGTATACTTTCTATATAAAAGAAAGAAAAGAAATTCAGCTCTTAAACAATTATATCAAACAACCAAATTGGCTATATGCAACAAATTGTATCATATAATCTTAAGAGATTTCAACTCCTATTCTAAAAACAGTCTATCAATTGGAGCCAAAACCTCTCTATATAAGCAATTAGTATATAAACATCTTAACAACTATATTGATATTGGACAATAATTTGATGACAGAGTATTTATCCATATTATCAATACCAGTGCCTCACGAATTAATCAAGCATGGGCATCAAGAATCCTCACTCCCAAAATAATCTGGTATGAAGTTTAGAATATGATACTATTCCAACCGATCATTACACAGTTTTGATAAAGCTAGACTACTTTGAGTTTAAAAAAATCAAATCAGCTTTCAAGTTTAATATTGACAAATCCTCCAAAAAAAACTTCATAGAATTTACCAAAGAATTAGACTATTGGATTAGCCTTCTATCATCACCAAATTGGGATAATTTCCATAACATCTGAATCAATACCTTTAACAAACATCAAGAAAATTAAGATCAACTTTATTTGAAAAAACCATCGCACCAGTGCAGAAAAAAGACTTAAAAAACATATTAAAAAAATCAATAAAACTTAAGAATAACTAGTGACTAAGGATGGGTCCTTAAACTATTTAGTATATAAAATTTTGCAGATCAATTATGTCCTTTTTGAAGAGACATAATTATTTATTCATTATTTTAATAGGGACATAATTCAAAAAACACTTTAATCAAATGTCCTAAATTGTATAAAACTTTTGTAGGTAGTTTTTTTTTGATTTTATATTTAAAAAAAAACTTTTTTAATAGTAAGAGACATTTGAATTATGTTTTTGCTTTTAATTTAGGGATCTATCTTTACTAGCAATCCATACCTTCTCTGGATCAAGAGTTAGTAACTCTGTATAAAGTTGTTAATCATAACACTAATATCTCAATCAAAGGTCTTCAAAAGCTAAAGAAACTATTAATCAAGAAAACTCTACTTCAGTTTCAACAAGAACTAGCTGAAAAATTTTATTTAAGTCTAGAAAATATAATAAAAAACTTTTATAACAAACCAAAAAGCTATATTAAGAAAACACTTGGAACCATCAAATCAAAAATTGACCTTCTCAAGATATACAACTCTAACAATAGGGATCATAAAAAACCAATCCGAAACCATATGCACAAACCAACAGATGATCGACATTGTGCATATGGTTTCGGATCGGTTTTTTATGATCTCTACATATGACAAGTAGTTGAATTATTATGTGGAGTTACAGACAAAATCTTCTCCACTTCAACCTCTACCAACTGGATCAAGGTAGTAACAGAATCTTTAACTTTGTTATATGATCTAATTTGAAAACTATACTGCTTCATAACCAACACTTCACCTTTTACTGAAATTAAGTAGAATCATGCTAAACTGCATAATTAAATCAACTCCACCAATCCAGAAATCAAAAAAACCCCAAAAACTAAAGACAACTTTAATAACTTATAAGACAATACTATCATTGATTTATTCTCTACTGTTATTAACTTATTTATCCAATCTAAATATAATTACTCCAAATGTATTTATAGCTTAACAACTCTATCTGCTAATTTCAACTCTATTTTTCCTGATACTAAATAGGTATTCATAGCTGCTTGATACCATCCAGCAAGATATATTGTTTTAAACTTTCTTTTCAATATTAATTATATGGTTATTGTAGGCAAGTTAGCATTTAACTCATTGTACCAATACATGAGAGATATTGTTTCTTTTATGATGTATACCATGCTATATACAAATCAAATAAAGAAATGATGTTTACCTACTTAAAATATATATATATATAAGCAAAAATTAAAAAAGAAAATTTAACATATAATTAAATTAAAAAAAAATTTTTTTTTATATTTTATAATATATTTTAATGGATTAATCAAGTATTAATAAATATTATTATATTATAAATATAATTTTTTTTGCATAAAAGTCTTGTATCATGTTTTCAATTTTAAAGATTAAATAAACACAATAAATACTTGTTTAATTATAAAGAAAAAAAACCAAAGCAATAATTAATATAGACTTATGAATAAAAAATATATTTTTTTCCTCTAAATAATATCTTATTAAATAAATATATTGTCTTGAATAATTGAATAATTATAATTAATTTACAGTATATATATTTTTAAAAAATGATTTTTCTACATATTATAACTTGGATAGATTCCAATGCCTTTGTAGAGAACCTTAGGATACTTTTTACCCTATACCAATGGACATCGTCATTGCTTAAATATTTTACGAGTTTTTTTGCGTGGAATAAGATGTCTAAAAAATAATAGACATGGAATTTCTTGACAATGGTAGAATCAATTCTTTCCTTTAAAGGTTGTTTTTCAAAGAAACTCCAATTTGTTAAAAAAATCGATCATTCAATAATAATTACAAGAACACTCTTACACAAAAAATTAGTTCAAATAAATATTGTGGTTGACTTTTAATTATCAAAATAAATTTTTTCTTTTAAATCGCGGAATTTGAATTATACACAAAGAAGTAAGAAACCTTCTGCATAAATAACTATGAGAATAGTTGAATTAAATCTGTGAGAGAAACAATGCCTCGAACTTTGCAATCTTCGCTGACAATCCATACACGATGAATACGATTCGTTACAATCAATCTTAAGACTTCACGCAGAGAGGCGTGCTCAGATACTGAAATTGCGTTTAGACTGGTCTCACTATTTGATAGAGTCTTCGAATAAACAAGTTGTCGCAATTAGTTGAATTCTTTTTAAGATGAAAGTATTTATGGGGTATCAATCAACATTTGCTTACTTCTAGAAATTTGAGAACTGGTAAAGCGAGATTTTCAATTGATTCATAACTTAACCCTCGGAGATCCGATACTGATAAATTTCCAATCAATTTTTCCTCACTTATAAAGAAAAAATAAATCAGATCCTTAGTAATTAAAGTTTACCAATAAGTCATCATAAACATACCTATTAATAATTGGAATTCCTGTTAAGTTCTTTTCACTCATTCTTCTATATAGGTTTAAAGCAATTTCATTATCATAGCCAACAACAACCTCATGTTTTTTCTCAGCAAGACCAAGAGATTTCAACGAAGAATCAAAATCAATCGAAGGCAAACTTTCCGGGTGAGCATAAACGTATCTAATGATATCGGTTTGTGTCAAGATGTATGGTTCGGTTTTATTAGTGTAATCAATCACCAAAGAACGATGAATTCCTCTAGAAAAAGCCTCGAGAAGCTAGTTTTATTTTCCATGGAAAAATGGAAATTTTTTTGGTAAAGGTATCCAACAAAACATAAATAAATGTAATAATAATCTTATATGCATTTACTCACGGATTTAATATTATCATTCGCATCAGTCTTAAGAATCCTGTAGCTTTCCCTTTCAGTATCCAAAGTCATAACAGCTTCAATGTGATCATCTAATTTGCTATCTTTCAAATGGTTGGGTAAATTTTCACCAGCTACCACTTTTTCCGTAACATAATAAAGCACATCAACAAAGTTTACGATATTCACTATGTTTTTGGAATCGTGAGAATAGATGGGCAAAGAAGTGATATTGTGTATGCTCATTGTTTTCAAAGCTTGTCGAATGGAAATTACGGGGGACGCGGCGATCAAAGTTGGCTTTGTGTCATTCCCCTTGATTTCGAGAGGGGTAAGCCCTGAGAGTTTTCGAGTCATGTTATTTAAGAAGAATTGAAGAAATTCTGTTTACAATCTAGAAAATTATCGAAACATAGTCAGAATGCGTAAGATTATCTTATTTTTTTCTTTATGGTAATATTCTTTCGTGATTCTTTGGACTTATATGATTCAGAATAATTTTAAGATTTTAATTAATCTTAATACGTCATGGGAAACTATATTTGAAATATACCCACGTATAATAATCAAGCCTTCGAAGTGTGTAAATGTAAAAAAACCGAATAACAGAATTGATATAAAATCGTCAAATAATAAGAATAGATGTAAATTATCAGGTGATAATCGTCTGTGTAAAAGAAAATAAATAAGCATAAATTTTTAGTATATCAGACCGTAAAAAGAAAAATTTAAATTATAAAAACAATAAGTACATATTGTTTATGTAAATTTTTCAAGAATGATAATAAAAAAGTGACTATGTGTGTCAGCCAATCACTAATATATAAATGTATTTTAGAAAACTCTTGAAATAAAAAAAAGAGTTGTTTATATTTGATAAATTTTAATAATTATAAAAAATAAATAAATAAATAAAGTAAAAAAATTTGAATAAAATTTTATTTTAATAATTAAACAGTTTGCTTATGTGTTATTTTATTATTAACAATAATAATAATATATTTTGTAAAACAAATAATTTTTATTCTTTTTTTTAATATTAAATAAGAAATTTTTTATGATCATTATTTTTTTTTTGGAAAGGTTTTTTCTATAAATAAACATTATTTCTTTATTTGATTTATATTACACATAATATATTTCATAAAAAAAACAATATCTTTTAAATATATTATATATAACAAGTTAAATACTAGCTTGTCTATACATATATATTTAGCTAATATTAAAAAAAAAATTTAAAACAATACTATATATTAGCTGTATCTAAATAGTATATTATATCTAACTACTTAGAAAATTTATAAAATCTTTTTGTAAATTTGAAAATAAAATATAAAAAAATAAACAATAAAAAAAAATATATAGGTAATTATTTTTGAAGGTGACAAAAATGCTAGATATGATTTTTTTGGACTCAACTTTTAAACAATACATATATAATATAAATTTTAGGATCATGCCAGAATATTTCTGGTTCACCTTCGAAAATAATTGCCCATATATTATAATAAAATAATTAGAGCTGAAATTAAGTTAAATAAATAATAAAATCTATAATAATAAAAGTTATATTTCTAGAAAAACTTCTTATCTAACTATAAAAAAAATTGGAATCTATTAAGCTTTCCTATTGTTGATATATACTTTAATAACAAAGAAATTATAGTTTAGTTAGTTAATATTGTTTACTATTATTATTTTGTTATTATTATCATTGTTGTTATTAAAAAACTGATTTAAACAGATTCAATTTTTGTTTTGATATTTTAATAAAATCTAATTAGATAATTAAAAAGTAATGATAATTTGAAAAGATAAACTGATTTCAATTTTTTGAATAAAAAATTTTGAAAAATTTAAGATAATACAGTAAATATTGTTATAAGTGTTGATAGTACTATTTTTAGATTATTATTTTATAGTATTATATTATTATATTATTTCTATTATTAGTTATTTAGTATATATAGCATAGCGAGTAAATATGACATTTCTGCCAAATATAACTGATCAGCCTGATCGATCTGATTGACCTGATCAACCTGATCGACCTGATCAGACAGAATAATTTGAACAACCTAAACGATATGATCAAGGATATCAGGCATATCTGATTGAACTGGCATATTTTGTCGCTTATTTACATTTTAGTTTCATATGATTTAAACATGTATAAATAGAACAGCTATTCTTCTCAACTGTTCAAGGAATTTCTCAACTCTTCCCAACTCTCTCTAATAAAACCTATCTTGAATCCATAACCAAATCACTGTACCTTTTGCCTTGGAAATAAACCTTGCTCAATTCTTTCACCTTACCAACACTAGTATATCACAACTGAGGCTATTTTCCTCTAAATTAAGTGGTTCCCTGCTACTGTTGACCATTGATCTATTTAATTTTAAGGTTTATTAAATAGGTTAACAATATAAAAGTTGATTTGAAACAAATATTAAATCAAATAATTTTATTTTGAATATATTTTTGATAAAGTATTTTTTTGAAAAAGATTTTTTCTATAGGTAAATATCATTTTTTTATTTAATATTATATATAATAAGATATATATCATTAAAAAAACAATATCTTATATATATATAAAGTAGTAAGTTAAATGCTAGCTTACATATATATATATATCTAGTTAATATTAAAAAAGAAATTCAAAACAATATTACAGTGGCAGTTGAAAGTATTGCATCACTTGAATACAAAATTTAAAATAATAATATTTCATGACACAGAGGTTCCAATGCCACAAGATTAATAAATTGAGTTTGTCATAACTTAATTTATTTATTTATATCAAGATTTTTATTAAATTTTGCAAAAATTCTTACACTGAATAAAAAATTTTCAAAAAATGGTAATGCATTTTTTTTGATCATTTTAATAAATAAACATCAACATATAGTACACCTTGTTTACGTACTTTAAAACAATATTCCTACCTTATATAAAAAAGGCATCTGATGTTATATTCTATCTTCTCAAAACATAAAATTACTAATAATATATTTGTTAGTTGAAAAAAGAGTCCGGGTTTGTACACTTCTTGAGAAAGAATATCTTTCGTATTATATAGCCTCTTGCGAGAATATTGCCCAATCAATTGTATTAAGAATCAAATAACATAAGGATGCCACTAATACCTTTAAAAATCAATTAAAACCAGGATGTTTAAGAATTCTAACTGGTCAATATAAGCAAAAAATATTATATTTTATCACAACCAGAAAGTATATCAATACAGTTGCAATTAAAAAAAAGCTACAAATTGAAGAAAAAATTCATATCAGTAAAGGTACAGTTAAAAGGATCTTACATCATAATGGGTTAGGTGCATGAGTCAAGCACAAAAAGTTGTATCTTCGAAAAAAACACAAATACGCATGTATGAAGTTTGCTAAAAAATATAGATTATAGACAGTCAAGGATTGGAGTAAGATTATCTGATCTAATGAATCAAAGTTTATGATTTTTAATTCAGATGACTGTAAATATTGCTGGCAGCAACCAGAAAAACCATTAAAAGATTATCACATTAAGCCTACAGTAAAATTCAGAGGTGGCAATATTATGATGTGGGGTACTTCTTATCTTTTGATGTTGGCAATATCTGCTGTATTTATAGAAATATGAATGACAACTTATATTACCAAATACTTAAGGAAAACCTTTTAGGAACCATTAAGTATCATAAAGTAAACAGGGATGTGATTGTTTTTCAACAGGATAACAATCCCAAACATACTGTAAAGCTTACAAAGAAGTGGTTTAAGAATCATGAAATTAGTATACTTGATTGACCTGCTCAGTTGCCTGATATGAATCCTATCAAGCATCTTTGGAACAAAATAGACCATCGGTTAAGAAAACTTGAAATATCTTTTAGAACACAAGATCAGTTGTGGGAAGCTGTTAAAAAAATTTGGATTGAGCTAGAAGTTGACATATGTGAAACACTAATTTCTTTCATACCAACTCATATTGATGATATAATTAAAATGAATAGTAGTTATACCAGGTGGTAAACAAGAAATCATCAAAATTTTATTGTATTTAGCACACAGATTTTTTTTTTTATTGTATAGAAAGTAAAAATAAATAAAATAATCAAATGAAATACATTGTATAAAAGGTTGAAAATAAATATTATTTTTAGTTTTATCTTTTTATTGTATAAAAAAAATTATATCATTAAATATATTTAATGTGATAAGTAAAATAAATTATTTTTATAACTATACAACTCCTGTGTCACAAAATATCATTATTTTAAATTTTGCATCCAGGTAATGCAATACTTTTGACTGCCACTATATATACTAGCTATATCTGAATAGTATCTATACCTACCTACTCAAAAAATTTTGTATGATCTTTTTGTTTTTTAAATGTAAAGTAATTGAGAAAAAAGAAAAAATTAATATTACTAAAACTAAAACTAAATCAAATAAACTATAAAATCTATAAGTAGAAAATTAATCATTTTCTCAAGAAAGCTTCTGGACAAGCTCGTGATCCCATTTCTCCAACTTTTTGATTATTATAAATAATAAAGTATATGCAATATTGTTTATTATTATAGTAATAGTTATTGTTGTATTGATATGTTTAGTAATTAATATGATAATTGATTTATTTATCAATAATGTGATTATTAAAAATAGTTTTGTTTATATTGATTATTGTATAGTATACTAGTGATATGAATTTGTTCTGATATTTGATAGTATTTGATTGATTGAGTTTGAAGTAATAATTAATTAACAGGAATAAACTGATTGCAATTTTTTGAATAAGAATTTTTAATTTTTTGTGATGCAACAGTATATGCTGAATGATATTGAAAAGTGGATATTATATATATTTCTGATGCTCCAAACTAATAACATGGACAATAATAAAGTAAAGTTTGATTTTTTAAATAAAAGAGAAGCTATTTAAACAAAAAATTTGTTTATTTAATAAGAAGTAATAATAAGAAGAACTTCAAGAAAAGTTTATAAAAAAGCAACTGTTACAGGTCTTCCCTCATGCAATTCAAAAGAAAAACAAACTTCCCAAACTTGTTTTTCCTTGGCCAAAGGTCCTATCCCGATACATCAGTATATTTTTTTAGTTTCCTTAAAGCTTTTATAGTAAAGATAAAAGAAGTATAGAGGACTTTTGAGTATTGAAAGGTGAAAAAAATTACTATAAAAGAAAATTTTTAAGAAAAATATTGTATATAGGATTTCGAACTGAGTACCGAAATAGTACTGACTTATAATAAAGTTAATATATGAGTTGTGACCCATTATATTAAACTCATAGTAAATCCAGTATCAACTTGATACCAAAATGGTACT